ATAGAGTTCTGACTTTTACTTGAGATAACGTTTGAACTAAGTTTGTGGCCAAGTAAGAGGAGTACAGGTATAAAGTCTCACGCTCGACGCAATCAACACGTGGTATCAGAGCCCGGTCACCGTAGAAAAAGTTTCAACCACCTCTGGTGTTAATCAAGATGGCGTCGGTTCCCAAAAATAATGCTCCACTCTATCTGGCTGACGGATTCTCTCAAAATCGGCCTCCCATATTTGAAGGAGTTAATTATGGGTATTGGAAAAATCGGATGGAATTATTTGTTGGATCCACAGATCCAAAACTCTGGGCTAGAGTCATCAAGGGTCCATATGAGCTCAAGGAGGATCAAAAAAAGGACAGACGAGGACTTTGAGAAATTTCAACAAAACAGCAAGGCAACTAATCTCATGTATTGTGCACTCGGTTCAGAAGAATATCACAAAGTTGGTGGTTGCAAGACTGCTAAGGAAATTTGGGATAAACTTCAGGTTACTTATGAAGGTACCTCTCAAGTCAAAACATCTTGAATTAATTCATTAAAACAGCAGTTCGAGTTGTTCAAAATGGAAGAAGGAGAAAATATCCGGCAAATGTACGAGCGATTCACAAACATCGTGAACAGTCTGGAGAACCTTGGAAAATCATATGAGAGTGGAGATCTGGTTAGAAAAATATTATGGAGTCTCCCAAAGCAATGGACTCCAAAGATAACTTCAATAGAAGAAGCTAAAGACCTAGAGACGTTAGCCATAGATGAACTCATAGGGTCATTAGCAACTCATGAAGACAAGCTCAACAAGGGAAATTATGATAAAGGGAAATTATGACAAGCACATACAACGAAGACACAGAAGATCTCGATGATATGGAGGATAAGGAATTGGCTCTACTAAGCAAACAAATTAGTAGACTACTTCGAGTGAGAAGAGAAAAACGAAGAGGAAACTTCTTTAACAAGAATAGAGCAGTTGAGAAATAAGGTGGTACATCAAATTACCCTCAATCAAGAGCATTCCAAAAAAACAAGATTGAACAGGTTCAGCCGGTTAAGGTTAAAAACACTACCGAATGCTTTAGATGTGGGAAAACTGGGCATATCAAGGCTGAATGTCCTCTACAAGAAAAGAACGAGCCATGGCTGCAACATGGAGCTGCAGTGAAGAAGAAGATGAAGATGTAGAGGAAACAAGAGAAGAAAGTTACATGGCTATTGACGTTGAGGAGCCATTAGAAAGACATAACCCAAACGAGGTTTGCTTCCAAGTGAGCATGGAGGCAACTGAATGGATACTAGACAGTGGATGCTCACACCACATGACAGGAAATCGGAATCTGTTCACCACACTCAACAAAGGTAAAGGTGGTAAGGTATTCTTTGGTGACAATAATTCTACCGATATAATAGGAAGAGGAATAGTAGGTTCAGATCCTTGCATTAAGAATGTGATGCTAGTAAAAGGTCTTAAGCATAATCTGTTTTCTATTAGTCAAATGTGTGGTAAAGATAAGAGGATAATTTTTGAACATGATTGCTGCTTCATTGAGTCTTTAGTTGATAAGAAAGTGCTTTTCACCGGAAGACGTAAAAATAAGCTGTATGTCATAAATCTAGATGATAAAGAAAGTTTTAAGACAACTTGTCTAATGTCTTTAGAGAAAATGATCAAATAGATTGGCACAGGAAGCTTGGACATGTGAGTATAGGAATTCTGTCTAAACTAAGTGATCTTGAGCTAGTTAAAGGTCTTCCTAAGTTAAAAGGCAAAAAGGAATACTTTTGTGATGCTTGTGCTAAAGGAAAGCATACAAGGTCTAGCTTCAAGAGTAAGTCGGTAATATCTACATCGAGACCACTTGAACTACTCCATCTTGATCTCTTTGGACCAACCAATGTGGTAAGCTATGGAGGTAAGTCCTATGCTTTTGTAATTGTAGATGACTACTCTTGTTTCACTTGGGTAATGTTTCTAGCTAGCAAAAGTGAAGCTTTTCAAAATTTTGAGTCTCTAACTAAGAAATTGGAAAATGAAAAACAATCTAAGGTTGCTAGCATTAGAAGTGATCATGGTGGAGAATTTATCTCAGAAGAATTTGAACTCTTCTCCGATAAGCTAGGAATAAGTCACAATTTTTCTGCTCCTCGAACTCCGCAACAAAATGGAGTGGTGGAAAGGAAAAATCGAACTTTGATTGATATAGCTCGAACAACGTTACATGACTATGGTTTGCCAAAGTACTTATGGGCTGGAGCCATAAATAGTGTATGCTATATTACTAATCGAGCTTTGATCATATCTGGAATTAAGAAGACTCCCTATGAGATTTGGAGAGGAAGAAAACCCAATCCGAGTTACTTCCATCCCTTTGGTTGCAAGTGCTTTGCATTAAACACCAAAGTTCATCTTGGCAAGTTTGATGCTAAATCCAATGAATGTGTGTTTTTGGGCTATTCCATGACTAGCAAAGCATATAGAATATTCAACAAAAGGACTCTCAAAGTGGAAGAGTCCATAAATGTGATATTTGATGAATCTGCTAATGAGTGCTCAGATGAGATAGATGAAGATGACTTTGAAATTGGTGGGAGCTATGATCTACCAAGGACATCAAACACAGAGAAATCTGAACCCAGAACGATCATATCTGAAGACCAAGATAAAGCAGTAAGTACCACAAACTCTCCGATCGATAAAGACCAAGATGTAAGGCAACCTCCTCCACATATTGCCAAACGTCATCCTTCTTCTCTTATGATAGGAGGGGCTAAATGAAGGTATGGTCACTCGTTCTAGAAATTCTATTGTGCACTCTGCTTTTGTGTCATTGGTTGAACCTAAGAATGTGCTAGATGCCTTGAATGATGAAAATTGGAATGCGGCTATGAACGAAGAAATGAGTCAGTTTGAACGTGCTAATGTGTGGGAGTTGGTACCCAGACCACCTACTAGAGTTATTATCGGGACTAAGTGGATTTACAAGATCAAGTCTAATGAAAATGGGGTAGCAACTAGAAACAGGGCTAGGTTAGTAGCTAAAGGGTATAATCAAGAAGAGGGAATAGATTTCGATGAAACCTTTGCTCCGGTTGCTAGATTAGAGGCTATTAGAATGTTGTGTGTGTTTGCTAGCTCTAAGGGTTTCAAACATTTTCAAATGGACGTCAAAAGTGCCTTTCTAAATGGAGATTTAAAAGAGGAAGTGTATGTTGAACAACCACCCAGTTTTGAAGACTTCCGACACCCAAACCACGTCTATAAATTAAAGAAGGCACTATATGGACTTAAACAAGCACCAAGAGCATGGTATGAAAAACTTAGTTCTTTTCTTTTAGGAGAAGGTTTTAACATGGGCTCAGTAGATAAAACTCTCTTTATAAAAGATAAAGGACAACATCTGTTGCTAGTTCAAATATATGTTGATGACATTATATTTGGATATTCTAGCAAAGAGTTGTGCGAATATTTCGAAAATATCATGAAGAAGTCCTTTGAAATGAGTGCCATGGGAGAATTAACATATTTTTTGGGTTTGCAAATTAAACAAACAACTCGAGGCATTTCCATCAGTCAAACCAAGTACATTCAAAATATGTTAAAACGTTTTGAATTTGGAAATCTAAAAACTGCAACTACACCTATGGCCTTTACCATTAAACTAGACAAGGATGAGTCCGGTAAGTCAATTGATGAGAAGTTCTATAGAGGAATGATTGGGTCACTAATGTATCTTACTGCTAGTAGACCCGATATTCAATTCAGTGTGTGTCTGTGTGCTAGATTCCAAAGTGCTCCTAAGGAAAGCCATCTGACTGCTGTCAAAAGAATCTTTCGTTACTTAGCGGGTACAATGGATCTAGATCTATGGTATGATTGTGAGTCAAGTCTTGATTTAATTGGATATAGTGACTCCGACTATGCTGGGTGCATAGTTGATCGTAAGAGTACTTCCGGGACATGTCAATTCCTAGGAAATTCTCTTGTGTCTTGGTTTAGTAAAAAACAAAGCTCTGTTGCTCTATCCACTGCTGAGGCTGAATACGTGGCCGCTGGTCTCTGTTGTACTCAACTTCTTTGGATGAAGCATCAACTTTGTGACTACGGGTTAGAAATAAAGTCCATGCCCGTATTGTGTGACAATACGAGTGCCATTAACATGGCAAAAACCGTACAGCATTCTCCAACCAAGCACATAGAAATTAGGTATCATTTCATTTGAGAATTGGTTGAAGAAGGTCAAATTCAACTCGAGTTTGTACCTAAGGCGAACCAATGGGCTGATATTTTTACTAAACCTCTAAGTATTGATCAATTCCTAACCATTCGTAGAGAACTTGGGCTTATTCCTTCCAGTGAGATTAAAGATCTAAAGTAAAATAAAACTTGAGCTGTCACAACTAATTAGTGGTGTTGCTTTAAAAACCCTGGTATGCTAAACTTCTCGGCCCATCTCTAATTCCTTTAACTCTTTGAGGCCTGGTAAGTTAAGCCCCTCACGGGCTCTATGGGCCAAAGCCCAGACGTCCCTCTACCAGACGTGCGTGGGATTCCCTCAGTCGAACCCCCTGCCTAACTATCTTCCTCTGCCTAAATCACGAGTTGGAGCCACTTACTAGGTTGTGGGCCTGAGCCCAATCCCACCCCTAGCAAACTCCCTGTTACTCGGTAGGTTTCAGGACAGAAATTGAACTTGACTTTCCTCTTTCATCTGCTGAGCAAAATCCCTAAGTGTTAGCTCGATCGAATCCCTACTTCGTGCCTGTTCAATCATCTTCTTTCCAAAAAATTCTCTCTTCGAGTGCCGATCAAAGGAAGTTCTGATCCGCTACCAGAGGTCACAGAGGAATCAAATCCTCTTCTCTGAAATTGCTTCCTCAAATTGGCTCGATCAAATCCCCCATCTCTTAATAGCTTCAGAGAATCCTGTCTAAGAGGAGATCAGTACCTTCCCCATCCTATTCTCGGTCAGTCCCTATATAAGCCACCTTATATCAATGGACTTCTCATCACTCATTCAGCAAAAGCAGCCGATCAAAAATTCACTCTCGCTCATTCCAACACCATGGCGCCGAACAATCCCCTCCTCAATGCCCACCTTGCTCATACTGCCATTTTTACCAATCGAGGTTTCCGAAACTCTGAGGCATATTCGAGGTACCTTCGGTGCTTCAGCGATCGGGCTCTCCATCCTTCATTCCTCATCCCTCCTACTACATTCAATCGATATAGACTGAGGGTCAATGGGTATATCAATGATCTTGGGTGGAGCTCACTGCTCCAGAATCGACCCCTTGATCAGTGCCCTGAAGCTGTGAGAATGTTCTACGCAAGTATGCAATGTGGCCCTGGACGATATCCGTCGTATTTCACCACCACCGTCTACAATTTTAGCGTGACAATCATTGCTGATGTGTTGGCCACTCTGCTGCATCTTCCTCACGATGGTTATCTAGCTGGGACAACAGAAGACTTTGATAGCTATGGGTTCCATCCCATAGATACTATGTCTTACCTGGCTCGTGACTATGGGAAGCACCAATTCTCCATGTTCTCTGTTGAGAGGCTTCCTGATGAGCTGAAAGCCTTACACTTCTACATCACTCGTATGTTCCTCCCTCGAGATGCTGCCACGGCAACTACTCTCGAAGAGTCTGACTTGGGGATTCTGTTTAACGCCAAAACAAGCTGCCCGATCAGCTACGCCACACTCATGTTTAATCACATGATTAAATATCGAGAAGAAGAGTGCAGTGGGAAGCTGCCTTTAGGTCCGCAAATCACCTCCCTGCTAGCAATCTTAGGGGTCGATCTGCGTGGGAAAATCATCAACTAGGATGTCCATTCTGACCTCCAGGCCCAGCATGTCTTGCATCGCACCCTCTCGGAGCTTGGAACCCAAAAACTTGCCAAAGTTCAAGGGGGAGACAAACCTGCTCAGTCTGAATCAGGTGCTGATGAAGACAACAGTGTTGTAGCGTTACCTGCGAGACTTGATAAGGGAAAGGAAGTGGCAGAATCGTCTCCCAAGAGGGCTCTGGACTTGGGTCACCTCTAGGAAGGGATAAATCTGGATAAGGAGGGAAAAGGGCTACTTCATGATCTAACCTTGGCTCTGAAAGGGAAAGAGGTCAGCTCTTCCCGCAAAAAGGTCAGCAAGGTCTTATTCGTACCTTCAGAGGATGGGAAGTCGATCCATCTGAGTATGCTTCCTCTCCTGAGTATACCTACTAGGAAGCATTCGGCTAATTGGCCTAGGGGGAGATCCACGAATGTCGTCTTTGTCTGTTTAATAATTCTTGTTTGGTTGACTTGTTGTTGAAGTCGGGTTTAGATGGTAGTTGAAGTTCTGGTTTAAGTTTTTTTTTAGTAAGTCTTGCTAAAGTATAGTGTCAAGAGTTAGTTAATGTTTGTTTCTGTTGCTATGAATAAAATGGACTCCCATTGTCATCTTTTGAACTTATGATACCTGCTGTCTTGATTAGAGGATTGGACAGGGTGCACCAATGGTTTGTTAAGTGTGCAGGTTCTGATGGTGAGCAGGTTAAGAATGAACTTTGACAAGTTGAGACAGATTCTGGGACATCTTGTTTAGGGGGAGAAGTTTGGCCATTGACAGCTTAGGGGGAGAATGTTGGAACAAGCTAATCAAAGGCCACTTGAGAAGGAAAGAAGATCAGGAGCAAACATAGAAAGAAGGAGAGATCAGATTAAGGAGATTTGGTATAGCAATGCAAATCAAATCAGAAGATGGAATCTCAAGCAAATCATCACTAATAAGGGAAGGAATTTGAATTAGCAACGACTACATTATAACCTATAAAAGGCGATTTGAAGGAAGAGCAACATCAAGCTTTTTGGAGATCAACAAAGCTAGCTAAGACAAAAGGGGATTTTGTGAGAGAGTAGCAAGGTTGATAGAAAGGGGGTTTCTCAAAGGGTTCGGGGAGAATTGCTTTGAGGGTTAGTGTTGGGGAAACACTGTTACGAGTTGATGGGGAAGCAATTCGGGGTTTGAGAAGAGAGTGTTTGATCAATCGGGTTGAGATTGATCAAAGGGTTCTTGGGTAGATAGATTTACATCAAACTTCAACGAAATATCTTTAGTGAATCATCGGAGATCACACAACAGTGAGTCTCCGACCGTGGAGTAGTCAGTATTGGGATTCTTATTCTCCCAATACTAGAAACCACGTAAAAATTGTGGGTTGTGTTCTCCCTTTGTTTCTTCATTTTCATTTTTATATGTGCCTCTGTGTGTGCTCTGTTTCAAGTCTGACTGTGCAGGGAAATTCGATCAAGAGGAGTTAAGGAAGACGAAGTGCCAGAATTGGGTAGGCGTACCTGCTGCTATCTGGTTTGATTTATTTCACATCTTAATATTATGGGTTTATATTGTTGTGTTCTGTGAGTTCTTCACCCGAAAGGAAACATGCCTCTTTTTTATCGAAGCCGCTCTAGCGGGAAAGGAAGACTGAGTTTGAATTAATACTCTGTCGTTTTTGGTTCCTCACTTAGAAAAGCGGCTGGGTAGAGTAACAGAGAGGACTGGGTGTTTGGGCTCGAATATTCTATTTACTTAACTTAAGCTTTTGGGCTTATGAGCCTATTCGGTTAAGGGTTAAAATTCTAATAGGTGGGATTTCCAATTAATGATCTAAGTAAGAATAGAAGACTAACCAATCAGCTTAGCCTTATTGTGTTGTAGGGCCATAGGGTTTAGTTATTATAATCAAAATCAAAGTTGAAGGAAACTGAAAGCTATTAGTTGTTCTAGAACATAGAGTTCTGACTTTTACTTGAGATAACGTTTGAACTAAGTTTGTGGACAAGTAAGAGGAGTACAGGTATAAAGTCTCGCGCTCGACGCAATCAACAGAGACGATACTCAATCTGCAGCATGCTGACCTTCATCTGACCAACGGTGAAACGCTCTGCAGCGGTGTCGTAGGGTGGCTGAGTAAGCTGGTGGTAACAGATCGAGAAAGAGACACCAGTCGGGTTAGCGAGCTTGACGTCAAAGTCATGAGTGTAGTCGGGCACGAGGTATAAAGCAACAGCAAACTCGTGGTAGCTCATGGATTGGTACTCTCCGTCCAACCGAAACGTGATAGCCTCATTGTTCTTCCAATTGGTGGTCCGGTGTGGTCAAAGGTGGAGTAGAACTCGATCACTAACTCAAAATAGACCCGATCATGCAGGGACAGTAGACGGCGCCTCATCCGGTTTCAAACAACAGCATGGAGGGCGTCATAGGAGTTGACGCTCTGTAATGCCCTCTTGCTCCAGAAATGGTGCTTGCCAAACTTAGCCTCTAGGACGCACCTAAACTGGGATTTGTGGGGTCCCCACTTCAGATCTTGGATGAACCGATGATTTAGGTTGGGCTTCGACAAGATCCTTCCAGAAAAATAACCAAGGTGGAGCCAACAAAAAAGCCAGGTGAAGGTTAGCACACCCGACACTTTATTGGAAAGATATCCGAACCATGGTGCCATGCATAGTTCACGAAATAAAAAATCATTCAACGAGGCATAATCAAGATGGGGTCTCTCCAATCATTAAAGTAGGAAACATGAGGTTCACAATAATACTAATCACATCATCAGATCACGCTATTAAGAGCCTCATCGAGCCCCCTCAAAAGGGTATGAAAACAGGCATTTTATCAAACACCTTGTGTGCATGAACAAAACAAGCATAGAATTTGGTATTCCTAGCACACAAGGGCTTAATCAAGCAATATAAACATGCCACAATATATTCAACACCTAAACCAAGCCTTCGCCTTGGTCAATTTCTACCAATTCGTGCATTTCAATCTGATTTTGTACCTAACCACCCTAACACCCATTTCTCCACAATTCACAAGGTAAAGGACATTATCAAACCTGGAGACTCAAGTAGAGGTGTAGGGGAAGGTGAGGGGAAGGCAATGGAAGCGACATAACTCCAAAATTCTACCCAAAAATGCACGTCAAAGACTCGTCGGAAATCGCCTCCGGCGACCCAAAACCGACCCAAATCGCCACAAAACGAAGGAAGAGGTCGGCAAGGTGGAGGAAATATTGGGTTTGGGGTTGGTTTCAAAAAAAACGACAAAAAACGGAACGAAAATTGGCCAAGTGATCGAAAAATCGCAGTTTTTTGGCGAGGGGAGAGAATTCTGGCGAGAAAATTGGCCACAAAAAACGTACCGCCTATTTATAGGCGTTCCGGGGCCATCGCACGTGTAGGCCGTATGGCAGTGTAGATTCAAAATCTTCCCGTGCGTGCTCGAGAGATTTGTACAGGCAGGCCAAGGAATCTAAACGTCCGTGCAACGTTCCCTTTTGCCCGTAATGGTTTTCCAGAAATGCTACACGGCCAAGACAGCACAAAACGCGGCCGTGGGTGGCCAAGGATCTCGTACGGGTAGGCCGAGGAATCCACATGGCCATGCGGTAGTTCCCTTTGCCCGTACGTGATTTCCACAGACACCACAAGGCCAAGGCTGGAAATTACGCGGGCGCGCGCTCGTGTGACCTGGCCGTGCAAGACCCCAGCAACCTAGGATTTGATGATTTTCCCTGAAAACAAGGCATCCAGTCCCTTCAACACACTTGACACGACTCAAAGACCAAAAATTAAAGGAGAAAGGAAAAGAAATACATATAATGGTGGGGTTGCCTCCCCACAAGTTCTTTCTTTTACAACTTTGGCTAGACGCAACCAGCGGAACTAAGGTTCCGCGAGTTCAACCACCAACTCCGCGCGTTCAAACTCGCCTCCCAGATACAGCTTGGGCGGGGGCCATTGAATTTAAACGGCTCATTTTGCGGTTTGGCAGTCTCGATGGTGCCATATGGAAACACCTGCGTGACCGTGAACGGTCCTGACCATCTGGAGTGGAGCTTTCCAGAAAAGAGTTTCAGGCAAGACTTATAAAGAAGAACTCGATTGCCAACCTGAAAATCTTTTGGGCCCCTCAATCGAACGTCGTGGACACTCTTTGTTCACTCCTTGTACAACTTGGTGTTCTTGTAGGCGTGGTAATGCCATTCCTCAAACTCCAACATCTTCATCTTGCATTTAGCACCTGCAAGTGACACGCTAAAACATAACACCAAACTGAGACCAAGTGTAATCGCAGTCTGGGAATACAGTAAAGTGGCAAGTTCTAATTATCAACCCGGGTCAAGATCTACTGCCTACTCCGTGAATATCTATTATCTAGCCAACTAAGTCGATTAATTGTGGTTTTAACTAAAAGCAGTAAGAAAGCAGGAATTGGTTTGGTTTTCTAAAGCAAAGGAAGAGTCATTAGGGAATGAGTCCCCCTAGCTCCTTAGTTAGGTTTCAGTTGTAATTACCGTGGGTTAATTTACTGTTGATTAAACTGCGGAAGATCCGACAGCAGCTTGGAATCTCTTAAGCTGACCAAGCCCTCTCAGTCCGACTACCCGGCAAATGACTAGTCTTCACCGGGATAGAAAGCTGAGGCAATAAGCACAGAACTCCACTACTGGAATTGGGTTCCAGTACAAAGCATTAGATTGATTAACTCTCGTATAACCAATCTACCACTACCGAATGATGAAGCTCTAACAACCTAATCAGATACTATCTATCTCAGGTTGAAGCAAAAATCAAGAAAAGATGATCAGACTTCAATTGATTCAATGAATCATGCATCATTCGATTATAATCAAACAGTATAACAATCCCAAGTCATTACAATCAAGATCCCTAAGACATGGAACTAGGGTTCTTCATACCCAAGTGAGAAAAGGTTCTACTCCATAGAGAGAGAGAGGGAAACAGAATACAAAGCAGTCATACTCATAACAATGGGAAGAATCTGCTCTGGGATGTCAATCTTCACTCCTGGGGATGCAATCTGGGCTACAATGGTGAGAAATCCACTCCAAATAGCTACTAGGGTTTGTTCTTCGCACTTTCTCTCTCTAAAACTCTGTTTTAGCTCCCAAAAATTCGATCCTCTCTCCTTTGGCTCATATTTGGGTTAAAACCCAGAAATTCCCGACCACACGGGCAGGCCACACAACCGTGTGGCTTTCATATTTCAATCATACCAACATAG